CAAAGCTTCCCAAACTTCTAACATCCAGTTTCTAATGTTTCTAAGCCATGGGGTCAGACATAGTAATAGCAATGACTCCATTGTTGATATCAATCTTCCTGAATTAGCTGTTTTATTGTTAGGACAAAATATCCAACACTCATATTTTAAAAGAGGAGAAGATTATTTGACTCGCAATTTCCAGGGAAATCAGTCCATGGTTGGCTAGTTCTAAGGCAGAATGTCATGGTAGAAGGGCACAGTGGAGGAAAGCCACTCAACAAATGGCAGCCAAGAAGCTCAGAGAGAAAGGAGGAGCCAAGGACAAGACTGCGTCTTTCCAGGTCATTCTCCAGTGACCCGCCTCCTCCTGGCAAAGAGGAGAAGGTCCTGGCTGTCTCCCTTTGCCTGTGCTGGCCTAAAGGGGCACGGTTTGGTTGGTGGCAGTCACGCCCCTCCCTCCCACCTGACATCCTCGTTAAGCAAACATCCTCTGTCACCCTCATTCAGCTGGCAACAACAGTCCAGGCCCAGCAGAATCAACATAGAGCACAAGTCTGTGTCAGCTGTCAGCAGGCAGCAGTGGCAGGGACCTGCAGCTGGTTGTGTCAGTGGTCCACATCCAGCATGTCTGGTGACATCAGGACTGCTAGCAGAGTTGCACTTTACCTATTCATGACTTCCATCTGAATTAAGCAAAAGAACCATTAACCCATCAGCACCATTCTGACAAGCTCCACCTCCAAGTATGAGACTTTTGGAGGACATTTTAGATCTAAGCCATAACACCATGCAATTTACCATTTCAAGTGTATAATTCAATAGCTTTGGGTATATTCATAGACATGTGCAAACCATTCCTACAATAAATTTTAGAACATCTTTATCATTAAAATATCACCATTGGGCCAGGGATTTAGCTCAGTGGTTCTGGTGCTTGCTGTGCAAGTGCAAGGTCCCCAGTTGGATCCCTGGTATCCCCCCGCAAAAAATAAAATAAAATCACTATTATCACTTTATATTTTCCCTTCCAACCTAACTAGCCAACTACAAATTACCTGTCTCTATAGATTTGCCCTTTTTGTCCATTTTATATAAGTGGAGTCAAACAAAATACATAGCGCTTTGTCACTTCTTAGTATGTTTTCAAAATCCATCCATGTTGTACCATATATCAAAATTTCACTTCTTTTTATTGCATAATAATATTCCAAGTAATATTCCAGTGCATGCGTGCGTGCATGTGTGTGTGTGTGTGTGTGTGTGTGTGTGAGTGTGTGTGTCTGTGTGTATTTCATCATTCAGTTAATGGACTTTTGAATAGTCTTGAGTAGTTTAAATTTTTTCCTATCATGAATGTTATGTCTGCTATGAACTTTCACATACAAATTTTTGTGGGGGGCACATGAGTTTTATTTCTCACAGGTACATACCTGGGATAGAATTGTTGGTTCATATTGTAATTCTATGTTTAACATTTTAAGGATCTGCCAGACTATCATTTTTGTTATTATAGTCATCCTAGTGGGTATAAATTAGTATTTTTCTCATTTTTTTTAATTTGAATTTTCTTGATGGCTAATGATGTTGAACTTCTTTTTCACATGAAAATTGGCCATTTGTATTTATTTTTATTGTATATCTATTTTAAGTCTTCTGTCCATTTTTAATTGTGTTGTCTTTTTATTGTTGAGTTGTAAGGCACTTCTATAAATTCTAGGTATATATCTCTTGTTATGGTTTGGGTCTGGATGTTTCCCCCAAAGCCTCATGTGATCAGAAGTGACTGACTCTAGAGCGTGTGATGCTGGGATTAAGGGTGTGTGATTACTAAACCACTACACGTGAGTGATTGGTTTGGCACTGCCCTAATCCCGGTAGTCTGAATAAGATAAAAGGAGCAGAAAGACACTGTTAAGCTTTCTTATTGCTTTTGCTGCCTTCCTCCATGAGCTGTTGCCCCTCACCACCCTGCCTTGGAGCCAGCTATTTATGGACTGAAACCTCTATGAAATATAAGCCAAATAAACCTTTTCCCCTTTAACTTTGGATGCCAGGTATTTTGTCTCAGCAATGAGAGAAAAGTAACTAGCCCATCCCTTATGAGGTATATGCTTTAATTGTTTTTCTTACACTCTATGAGTCATTTTCTTAATGGTATATTTTCTAATGGTATATTTTGAAGAACAAAAATTTTTGATGTTGGTGGTCTTTGAACAAGAGATTCTCCCTCTGGAACCCTAATAGCATTAGAACTGCTGAGATCCAGGCTGCAAGACGAGTGACTGATGTTTCTCTCAAACCAATGCACTGCGTATTTACTGAAATCTTTAAATCAACAAGACCTATTTTGCCATCTCTGGTTCCAAAAATCTCACAATATCTGGTATGTGGATTTTATATTTAAAGAGTTTTTATTCCTCAGCAGTGCATGGTTCAGATTTAAGCAAAATTCTGTTTTCCCCTTGCCATGTTTTACTTCTTCAGACTTGGAATTGCTAGAATTGACGCTTAGTTGGTAAGTCTAACATTACAATTATATCTTCACTTTTTTGCAACATATGATGTGTTTGGGAATGTGTGTGCAAAAGTCCAAAGACATGACAAAATATCACGTTTTGAGGACATAAGAAATTCCATGTTGCCTATTTGAGTTCCTAGGGGCAGGGAGTAAAACTGAGTTATGAGCCGGAAAGGAGAGGAGGAAAGGGAAGTCAAAGCAAAAGAGGAAAGGTAGACGAAGATGGGGAAGAAGAAAAGAAAAAGGATGAGGGAGGAAGAAGAACTGGAAGAAAGAGAAATAGAAAAGAGAAAGACTTGTTGGGCATGGTCTGAGAGGCATCCAGGGCTGCTTCTTCAGTTCTTGCTTCTTTTCCCATGACTGGCAAATGACCTGCAGCGGCCTGTGCAATCCAGCACGACAGAAAGGAGACCCATTTCTCCTTTCAAAGGGCATTGAAAGGCAGATTGTGGATTTTCTGCCTGTCCTCAGCCTAATCCAGCACACAGGCACAGTAGACCTGTGTACAGGTAAGAGCTACTGCAACCTTTGACTGACAGCACCACTGGGACTGCACTGAGCAGGACTGGACTCCTGTGTGAACTGAAGCTGGCTGCTGTGCTGAGCTGATCCCTGGGACCTGTGCACACCCTCGCATGGACCTATGCATTGCATACACCTTCACTTTAAGTGGGAAGCCCTAGAGTGGATTTAAAAGTGGAGTTTGTTTATTTATTTGCTTGTTTGTCTTTCAATATTGTGGATTGAACCCAAGACCTTTGCACTGAGAGATACCCCTAGCCCTTTTGTATATTTTTAAATTTAAAGACAGGATCTTGCTAAGTTGCCCAGGTTGGGTACTTGCAATCCTCCCACCTCAACTCTCCAAAGTTCTGGGGTTACAGGCATGACCTGAAATTGGAGTTTAGTTGAAAGCAAAGAATCTCTTAAAAATGTTAAAGGGAAGGTAGAAGATGTGGAGGTAGATGAAGTAGTGTATCATTCACAGTCTTGGGTGTGGCTATGTAGTGTAACTGAATGCACTCATACTTTAACTGTTTGGTCAACACCAAAGATATTTTTTCATAAACAAAAGAAAAAATAAAAAGGAAGAGATGAAAGGACTTTATTGTTCTGTAACACCTTTACCTGTGCCACAGTTTAACGCTTGTTAATTTAACAATCACTTGACAATGCTGTGTGAGTGCCACTGACAGGCCACATGACACTCTGTTTGGTTTGTAATTATCCCATGAGGCCTTTGTAAAATGACGATGTTAAGCTGAGCCAGCAACCATAATCCCCCAGGAACAGATGCCTGGGAAAGATGCTGCTGTCTTTGTTTGAAAGAAGGAAAGTGGGAAGTCCCTTCATGGAAATGTTCCCACATGAGGATAGCAATTGCTGGACCTGCATTTCCTATTTTGATATTTTACTAATATTTTCCATTCATAGAAAAATGTAACTCCTTCTGGTTACTATTGCTACATTTAAATATAATTTTAAACAATGGACCCTAATTTAGATGAAGCCAGGCAAGGCAGCCCTGCATGGAGGACTAGTGAAGTGATAGTGTGGGTAGCTTCCAGTGATGTTCATGCATTTGCTGTGTGAACAGCCAGGTCATCTTAAAATGAGAATTTGTCAACTATTATGCGTCTAAAGTCTCCTCCACCTGGACAGCAAGAAGCTGTTGGTGTCTCTTGCAAGATAGTCTCTTCCTAGTGGCTCATGTTGTTTGCAAGACTGTAGACCAGTGTTTGGAATCACAGCTCCATTTGAAAGGTCAAGAGCATAGTTCCAATGTAATTACCTTTGTCTTTGTATGATGTGTAAGAAGGGTGGATGCTACCTATGTTATTTCCATTTATGGTAAATAAACAACTTTTCACAAAATGGTATCATTTTCATGGGATAGATAGGTAGTATTACTAAGGGCTCTGTAGAGAAATGTAACCAAAAGGGTGTGTGTGTGTGTGTGTGTGTGTGTGTGTGTGTGTGTGTGGTGTGTATGGGGGAACAGAAGGAGGGAGGGAGGGAGGGAGAGAAAGAAACAGCGAGAGAGAGAGAGAGAGAGAGAGAGAGAGAGAAATAGAGACAGAGACCAATTTAGCATAGGAATTTGTTCATTTGATTTGATTGTCCTGGCCAAGAAGTCCCATGATGGCAAGCAGGAAAGTCAGCCAAGCTCATGGTATAATTTGGTCTGAGTCCAAATGTCCAAGGACCAGATTAGCCTGTGGTCAATAGTATGAGTCCCAGACTGAGATCTGAGGCCTGAGGAAGGAGGGAGTTTATGATGCTGTAATTCTCCAAAGTCTTGGGAATCTGGGGCTCAGATGTCAGCAGGCAAGAGGAGATGGATGGCCCATCTCAAGGACAGAAAGAGAATTTACCCTTCCTCTGTCTGTTCCTCATGTTTGGCCCTCATCTGATTACATGATGCCCACCCACATAGGTGAGGGTGATCTTCCTTACTCAGTTTACCAATTCAAATATTAATCTCTTCCAGAAAGGCCCTCACAGACACACCCAGAAGTAAAGAATAATATATAAATAGCTTCCTGGGGATCCTTCAGGTGAGTCAAGTTGGACCCATATGAAGGTTAATTGTATGTGCCTATGTATTGACACCCAGCAAATAATGTTTTTATTATCATTGCATTTTATTACTTTAAATGTTGCATATTTAAACCCAAATAGAGGGCAAAAAATAATAGAGAACTTATAACAATCAGGATATTCAAATTCAAGGTATTCAACAGCTTTCTTGCATGTGGTAAATGTGGGCTTTTTGTTAGGCTGTCTTTATTTAAGAGAGTAGTTAGTTCTACATTGATGAGCTGAGTTCCTTCTTAGATCCACTATTTCTTCTTCAGTAAAAGTCTGTTAATTGATGAAAGAATTTAATTGTAACAACATATAGCATAGATGCACAAAATACAATACTTCTCTCTCATTTTTTCGTAGGATTATGATGTTAAATTTTCTTCCTACTCTTGAGCAAATAGGGGTGTAGGTAGTAATTTCAGGGCTCTCAGTAATTTAGTTGGTGATTCATAATTTATAGCCCACAATCTTAAGTATTTTCTGCCCTTCTCTGCTAGAGGGGTACCTGTCCTCACAGAGACTGGAGGGCAGTCCCAAGCATCTCACTCCCAGGTTGGATACAGGTAATCTTTCTTTTCCTACCTGCCTGCCAGACTGTAAGTCTTCTTTTTTTCTATTTTTTATTAGTACATGTCTGCACAATGATTGCATTCCTCATGGTGAGGTGGTACATATGCACAATACTTTATTCTTTTTTCATCTCCTCTCCCTCCTTTTCTTCCCATTGTCCTCCATCACTTTGTTCCCTTCCATTTCAGAAAGATCTGTGTCCCTGTTTCCTATGATCTTTTATTTTAGTCTTTAATTTATTTATACTTTGAATTTCTCATATAAGAGAGATCATGAGATATTTAAGCTTGTGTGCCTGCATTATTTCACTTAACATTATACTCTCAAGTTGTATCCATTTCCCCACAAATAACTTAAATTCATCATTCATTATGGCAGAGTCCTTCACTGTGTGTAAATTCCACATTTTCCTTTATCCGTTCATCTGTTTATGAACATGTAGGCTGCTTCCAAGATTTAGCTATTAAGAGTTTCACTGCTATTAAACATGAGTATTATGTATCACTATAATACGAGGTGCTTTAACTCTTTGGGGAAGATACCTAGAAGAATAGGTGGATCAAATGGAATTTCTATTTCTACTTTTTTTGGGGAAAATTTCCTTACTAATTTTTATAGTGGTTGTACTAATGTACATTCCCACCAACAATGTAGAACAGTTTCCTCTCCCCAGCTTTTCCAACATTTGTTATTATTTGATGATAGCCATTCTGGAAAGAGTCTAAATCTTTTTGAGGTAAGGTAGCATCGGTCAAAGCCATTACAATTTTGGATACATGATGCTAGGTAATAAAAAAATTAACAGGTATGTTGAGACACCAGAAAATATGTTTGAAAAAATAGAGATAAAAGGCAATTCACTCAGATCCATAGATAATCTAGAGACTGGAATGATCATATGTGGATTTTATAATAATTACAATGAACATATTCAAGGATAATAAGATGGAAAGTTTCACCAGAGAACTAAGACCTATAAAAGAATGTAGAACTTAAAAATATTATAACTAAAGTTAGGAATTCAATAGAGGGTTTAAAAGCAGATTAGACACATCTGAAAACAGAGCTAGGACAATGTTCAGTAGAAAGTGTAAAGACTGAAACTTTGAGAGAGGCAAGAGGATGGGGGAAAAAAGCTGCAAGATATACAGGTCATGGAGGAAAGGTCTAATGTATTGTATGTCAGATGGAGAGGAGAGAGAAAATAAGGTGGAAGAAATATTTGAAGATGCATTGGGTGAGATGTTCCCAAAATTGATGAAAGACTGAAAGCTCAGATTTGATGAGTGCAACAAACATAAAGAGGTGTGAGTGAAATAAACCCACACTCAAACTCCAAGGAATAAAACTGCTGATGTCAAAGACAGAGAAACTCTTAATGAGATACAGAAAAATGATATATGAGCCTCAAAGGAGGAGCTGGTTTTTCAACACCAATGGCAATGGAAAGGTGTTGTAGGTCCAAGACTCAGCTATTATGAATTGCACTGCTATAAACACAGATATGCACATATCACTGTAGAATGATGTCTTTAACTCTTTTGGGAAGACACCTAGAAGAATAGCTGGGTAAGATGGAACTCCTAGTTTTAGGTTTGCGAGAACTCTCCATACTGATTTCCATAGTGGTTGTATCAGTTTACAGTCCCACCAACGATGAAGAAAGAAGGGTTTCTTTCTCCCCACAGCCTCACCAGCATTTGGTACTGCTTGCTTTCTTGATGGTAGCCATTTTTTTCTGGAGTGGGATGAAATCTCAGTGTTGTTTTAATTTGCATTTCTTGAATGACCAGTGATGATGAATATTTTTTCATGTATTTATTGGCCATTTGTATTTCTTCATCTGAGAAGTGTCTATTCATTTCAGATGCCCATTTTAAAATTTGTCTTTAAATTTAGGGGTAGGGGTCCTAATATTTTTGAGTTCTTTGTATATTGTAACCATTAGTCCTTTGTCTGAGGAGTAGCTATTGAAAATTTTTTTCCAATTTTGTAGGTTGTCTTTCACTCTGTTGGTGGTTTCCTTTGCTATGCAGAAGATTTTTAATTTGATATGATACCATTTGTTGATTCTTGGTATTATTTCATGTGTAACCAGGGCTTTGTTCAGAAAGCCTTCGCATACACCTATGTCTTCAAGAGTTTTACAACTATATTAAGTTTAATAGACAAAATATTCCATTATGAATCAAAGATTGTCAAGTTGAATTAAAAAATACAATTGCACATCTGATGCTTCTTCTAAGAAACTATCTTTAAATATAAAGACATGGAAATCAGGGAGTTCAAGGTATTGGTTAAAGTGACTCAAAAGTTGCACTGTGGAATCTAAGCAGGGAAGAGAAGGGATTAACACAAAAAAAATTCTATGAATAGGGACACATAGATGAGTGTTTCTCACCCTTGGTTGCACAGTAAAATTACTTGGGTGAGCTTTTTTATTTTGAGGAGATTGTATAGTTACATGCATTGTAAGAAATAATACAAAGAGATTCCATGTAGCCTTTTCCCAATTTCTCTAGTGGTAACATCTCACAAAATGCTATGGATTATCATAACCAGAACATCAGTGTGGATACAGTCAGAACAGAATATCCTCTTCACCTCCAGGACCTCTTGAGTTGCCTTTTATGGCCACACTCATTTCCTTCCTGCCCCCAACCCCTCCCAAATCCCTGGTAATCTGTTCTCCATTTCTGTAATTTTGTCATTTCCATAACACTGTATAAATAGACTCATGGAATATGCAATCCTCTGTGGTTGGCATTTGCACTAAGCACGATTCCCTGGAGACTCATGTGGTTTATTTTGTGTATCCACAGTTACCTCTTTTTGTTGCTTCCTGGGAGTGCATGTGGCTGAACCACAGTTTGCTTTAACTATTCACCCATTGAAGGCCACCGGGACTATTTTCAGTCTGGGGTTATTCTCCTATAAACATTTGTGTGCAGGTTTTTATGTCAACAAGAGTTTTCATTTCACTGGTGAAGATGCTCAAGCTTACAACTGCTTGGTCATATGACAGTTGTGTGTTTAGTGTTTAAAGAAATTGTCGAGCTGTTTTCCAGAGTTGCTGTATCATTTTGCATTTCCGTGAGTGGTGCTTCTTGAGTTACTCTGCATCCTAGAAACTAATTACCATGGCTAAATGGGTTGGGGTTTTGACTGACCAATTTTGGATTATCTCTGTGCTCCAGCAGGAGGAAGTCAGCCATATGGCCTGAGGCTTTCCAAAGGGCAATGGGGACCAAACCTTACTTATCTACTATATTTCAGCCAGGGAGTGTTCTTAGCAACTAAGGGTATTAGCTCATTTTATCCTCACAGCAATGTAGCTACTTTTACCTAGAGATTAAAAGAAGACATAACAATACCCCAGAGCAGAAAGTGGCCTCTTCAATGTCTCTGAATTCCTGTGGCTTCTCATAGTTTAGCCAAGATGAGTCTTCTGTTCCAAGGAGACAGCAGATATCTCCCCAGGTGACTGCTTTTTCTCTCCCAGTGTGTGTCGGTGCAGGCCAGGATAGAGCGGCATTATTTTCCTGCTTGACTTTCAGGCAACCTGTGCAAAGCACAGTGCCAACACCTCATGAAAGCCTGGTATAAGTTTTCGTGGTTCACTCCACCAACTTTGTTGAGCTCAGAAGCCAGCACCGTTCAATTTCAGAAATAATGTTGAGCTTTTGCCAAGCATGGCCTGCAATCAACAGTTTGAATGCCTGAGTTTCCCAGAACACAATGAGGACGTTCACCTTCCCATGGGCTTAACATTAGTTCCTTCTAGGAGCTATACAAAGGGGGAAGGGCTGGAAGGAAGGGGGCCAGTGTGACCATCAGCCGTCTTTGAGGTCCCTTGCTGGAGGACTAAAGGTAGCAGGAGGGCCTGAGAGACAAATAAGGGCAGAAAGGAAGCACAGCAAAGGGGAACATTAAAGCAGGGCAGGGTGGCTGAAGTGGTATGGTGATGCCAGACAATCCGGATGTTTCTGACTTCTCCTTCCACACTGTGGCCCATGCAGGCCCCATTTCCTGAGCTGACAGAAAGTTTGGACTAAAGTCAGGCCATCCTGTGCACTGACAGTAGGATAGTGTTATACTCATTTGGGGTTTCTTGGAAATAGGGGGTAAAGAGTTAATGTCTTCCTTCCCTCTCCCCCTAGTTTTATTTCCCTCTCATTTTAGGATGGATGAATTGTGTATAAAATATTTCTTTTTCACATATATAAGGATTTGGCATCAGCTAAAATGTGCCCACTGGGGAATTGTTTTTGTCTTTTTTTAATAGAAAGAGGCTTTTCACACCTCAAAATGTAGGCTAAAATAGCCTTTCATTATCGCACCACAGATTCATCTAGTTGTTCCCTGTTACAACTTCAAAACATCACTTCAGTGACCAGGGTGCATGCTCATTAGAGTCTAGTCACATCTCACATGATTTGAGCCAACATTCAGCAAATTGTCCCCCTTTATGCTCTTGCCAGGAGAAGATATCTGTATTTCTTTCTTTCTATCTATCTATCTATCTATCTATCTATCTATCTATCTATCTATCTATATCTATATGTGAACTATTTCATTTTGCAAAAGGCAATATGAGGACACATTGATTTCTTTTTACCACCTGCAATCAAAGTAAATTTATCCCTTTTTCTGAATATATGCCACTTTAAAAAACGTGCCACAGCTAGCCTAAGGATTGGAAATGCCCAATACAAGTAGACACCTTGTGTTTTTTTTAATTACTCATTTTTATCAAAGTAACACATACAGATTTTTAAAAAGTCAAACAGTAGTGGAATATTTACAATGACAAGGAGCAACCTCTTGTAACCCTTCCCATTCCACTACAAACATCTATTTTCTAGCGGCAATCACTGGGAATTCTTTTTCTCTTGCTGCTTACTTTGGTTATTCTAAATAGATACTTGGGTTGCTATTGCTTACGTTCTCAGTTTTCCATCTTGTCAGTGCTACCTGGTGACATAATGGAAGCTGAGGACTCAGGGTGTCTATATCACCGCACAAGCACATCCTCAGTCTCAGTGTCTGCAGTATGGAGATTTTGTAAATACGTTCTGAGGAGCCAAGTAAGACCTTTTATTTACATTTCTCTGTCCACTTTTTATTTCCTGAAGTAAATTTTCTTGCATTTTGTTCCTCTTGGTTCTCTCAGAATGTCTTCCTGTTTGTGTATCCTCTACTATCAATGCAAAGTACCTCTCATCCAATTTTCCACAGTCAACCCAATGCGAATACAATCGACCCTCTGCGTCCTACTGTTCTGCATCCCTGGATTCAACCAACCATCCATTGAAGATATTTGGAAACAAAAACTGCACTTCTAGTAAGTATGTACCAACTTGTCTTTCTTTTAATTATTGCCTAAACAACACAGTATAGCAGTTATTTGTCATTCATTTGTATTAGGTATTTGCAGTCTAGAGACCACTGAAGTATGTGAGAGACTTTGAGTAGGTTTTATGCAAAACCATTGTCATTTTTTGTAAGAGACTTGAGCATCTGTCAACTTTAATATCCACAAAATCCTGTGCAGATACCAAGGGACTGTGATGAGTAATATTCAGCAGATAGGAAGAAAACCATCATACCCAGAAAGCTGGGTAGACAAACCTCCAGTCTCTCCTCCTCTGGAATAGGCCAGCCTGGCTCTTGTCCAGCAGTTTGCAAGCTGGTGTTAAACTCCCATGAGAATAGCACTTCTACAGGTCAGGATCAAGCAGCATCATTGCAGTTCATGATGGCTCAGGACTCAGTGGTGATGTGGCATGGTTTTACACAGAAGTCTCCCAAAAGGCCATCACTACATCTTCTAGGTGTGCCCATTCTATTCTCCAGGGACTCATAGCTACCCTTGAACCTCTTTTAGGAAATAAGCAATAGCAATTCTAGTTAGCCCACAAGGGCATATGCAAGCACGGTTGGCCTAATAGATATGTATGCATACTCAACATATTTCTGTTTGGATTATGGCTTCATGGTCTGAGTCATCTTCTATGTATTTCTGTGAACCCTACACAAATGTTAGAAGTTGTCAATGGGTAACCTCCTATCTCAACCCCTCTACATTCCTCAGCTGCCCTTCTAGGGGAGGACAATCATCTCAGAAAGGTAAACACCATCTCTCTGGAAGTCACATAGTGAATCAACTCTTTAAATAGTACTTGGTCAAGCAAGGCCCTGTGAGCTTTAGTGATTCTCGGATCTGTCTACCTTTATTGATTGCTCACTGTCAGGCTTTGTATTCAGATGATGAATCAGAGCTCCTGCTTTCGGGAATAAGAACAGAAGCTCAAGTGGGTGATGTCATTCATCCAGATGGCTCAGAGTCACCTAACATTATTGTAGGAATCCTTCCTGAGGAGAACAAGCCCTGGCAGGAGCCAGAGGAGTTAACATAGCAAGAAAATTTGGGGACAAACTAGAATTAGAGCCTCCAGATCTTTCCACTCTTTCCTTATTCCCAGCACTTCATCCTGGCCCAGACCTAAGCAATCCCCCAACCCAGGGAGCAAGAACCTTGTCCTGAGCAGACTCCTGGGGTAATAGTGTAAAACACAGAAGGGATCAAAAGCTAAGCATTGTTATTAAGTTAAGTTTCTTTCATCTAGGACCATATGTGAGATTTGTGCATAATTTTCTTTTCTACAGTTTTGACATAGAACTAACATTGTAAATTGCTCTTAAAATTAGTTGGGTGAATCTTCATCTTTTTTCTTGTCTCTGAATCAATTTAATATCAATTTAATAGAGATGGATTATTTATCTGCTCCTTGCAAACTTGAAAAAATAATTTGTAAAACCATCTGGGGCTGATGTCTTGTGGGCGGATGGGTGTGGGGGAGACTTCTTTTAAATGGTGGTGATTACTCATGTTTTCCTGTCCATCACTAAGCCAGTTTGAGAATCCTTTGCATTTCAGAGAAATCTATTAACTAATCTTTAAATTTACTTGGCATGAACTTATTTGCAGTCTCTGTCAGCATGGTCTCTTTCATTCTTGATATATACTTTTTGTGCTTTTCATTCCCCCCACCCCATAGCTCTGTTTACTTCATTAGATTTTTTTCTTTTTTTATGAAATGACATCTTGTGGTTGTGGTGACTCTCCTGCAAGATGAATCATTTCTAGGTTTCTGACTGTCAAACCAGATGGGTCCCTAGCTGCGCCTATACCTGTCACCACCAGTATGTGGGCTGAACAGCACAGTGCTGCTTGAAGACATGAATTCAAGGATGGTTCTCAATGGGAAGAAGCACAGAGGCCAAAGGGGAAAGGTCAGAGGCCTCACTGCCCCCATCCCTCCATCTCCCACACAGAAGCCTGCAGGTGAGCTGCTGGCCCACAGTGAGGCTCTTGTTTTGCAGGGAAAGGGTCACTTCCAGAGGCCATATGAGTGGAAAAAAGCTTGTCAGTGAGGAAGTACACAGGACTCTGTGTTCCAGGCTGTCTGGACTTCTGGGCCAGCTCTGTCAGAAGCTGTGGGCAGTGTTAGCAACCTGGCAAGCAGGGACCTCAGTATTGACCTACTTGGGGGGGTGTTCACAAGGCTTTATTTCCCAGGGAACTTGAGTTCATGTGCGTGACTCCTGCTAGAAGGAAAGAGGGCAAGAGCTCCCCTGCTTTCAACTAGCTCGTTTCCAGACATTTGGGACTGAGGACTCAGATCCCTTCCTCTACCTGTTGCTCTTCTCCTGCTGGACATAGATGACTGTCTTCCATTTGCATCTGGATTATGTCGATGCTTCTTTGCATGTGAGTGCGATTTTGCTAGGTGCATTTCAAGGTTATGTACATGATCACAAAATCTCATGACTATCTTTTTTTCTTTGATGACTTTGTCCTTATTATTATATAGTATCACTCTATTAATATGGGGGATTTAAAAAATAAACTTTAAATTTTTCAACAGGTTTAAATTTATGGAAAAATTGTGGAGATAGTACAAAGGGTTCCCATAAATATATACTGTATATCCTGTATTTATAACATCTTACATTAATATGTTACCTTCATTACAATTAATGAACCAATATGGATAATTTATTATACACAGAACTCCACATTCCATACTTTGTTCAGATTTAGTTTTACCTAATGTCCTTTTTCAGTTCCAAGGTCATGTGCAGGATACTCCGTTACATTTAGTTGCTATGTGTTCTTGGGCTTTTCTTATTGAGACAGTTTCTGAGACTTTTCCTGTTTTCGATGGCCTGGACATTCTTGAGAAATATTGGTTAAGAATTATATAGAAAGTCATTTGAATGAACTTTTTTAGAAAATGCTTAGAGTTACAGGTTTGAGGAGGAGGACCACAGAGGTAAAATACCACTCTCAGCACATCATACCCACAGTACATCCATCAACATAACTTAGCCCTGTTGGTGTTGGCCTTGACCACCCGGCCAGTGTACTCTTTGCCAGGTCTCTCTTCTCTCCCTTCCATACTGTGCTTTTTGGAAGGAAGTCCCTATGAGCAGCCACAGTTGAGGAGGAGAGATTTATGTTGCAACTCCTTGAGGGTGTACAACTTACACGAATTCTTAGGAATACTTCTACAGAGGAGATTTCTCTGTTCTCCCATTTATTTATTCAATTATTCAATGTATTAACATCCATACAGACCGGTGGATATTTATTTTATATTGTGGGTTGTAATCTGATACTTCTTTGTGTATTTTATTGCTCACATTTTTTCCAGCACTGGCCATTGGGAACCCTTTTAGCTGGCTCCTGCATTCTTTTGTCATCCCTTCAGCAATGTAACTTGATTGTAGTTGAAAATTCCTTACTCCACCACAGGCTCACCTGTAATATTTCTTGCCCCAACCCTAGAAGCAATCATTTTCCCAAAGAGCTCTGGTTCCTGTTACTGGAGAATGGTATTAGGGACCCCAATCTGGGTATTAGTCTCTGGTAACATTGTTTTTAAACCCTTTCAGTAGACATTGAAAGGAAATCTGTTTACGAGCACCTGTATACATACACATATAAGCATAATTATTTCTATACAGTGCATACCAATTTATTTCTATATGAAGCTAAACATGAAATCAGACTGATCCAAAGCTAACTTTAATCCATCGTTGCATAGATCATTCTAGCCTCCTCTTGTTTCTCTGTAACCTTCACTCCAACAGTAAGAAATATGGCTCCTGCCATCTGACATCCATTTATGGAATTGTTCAGTTCCACTTCACATGCACAGCACTCTCAGAATTATTAACCTGTACCCTTGTGAGAAACAACTTTATCAGATGGACCAGTGTTATGGGCAGATTCTTTGCCCCCAGGCTTAAGATTCCACTAATTTTCGGTTATTTAGAGCTTTTCCTCTCAGTGAGTTGTTTCATCCATTTGCAACATAATTAACTGTTTTGTCATATTCCAATTCCTTCCTTCCTATTAAGGTTCTCGAAACCAACTTAAATGAGTCATAATTATGTATAATAAACTGCATATATTTAAAATGTAATTCAGTGAGCTCTGAGAAATGAAGAAAATGATTGCCAAGCCTGGCCTTCATAATAATTCCTAGAATAATTCCCATCACCCTCAAATGCTTCCTCAGGCCCCTTCATCATTCACTTTGCCTTTTCCTCTCCTTCTCTGCTACTACTGATGTGTGTTTTGTTACCATAAATCAGATTATGTTTTAGAAATGATTTTGAGGTTCATCTATGGTTTTGTACCAATAACTTGCTCCTTTTAAAAAAACTAATGAGCCACCCTTTGTATGAATATAGCCCAGTTTATTTATCCTTCCACCTGTTGAAGAATATTTGACTCTTTTCAAGGTTTTAGCTACTGTGAACAAATAAAACTTGTGTGAACATTTGTATCCAAGCATCTGTCTGGATATATTTCATGAGTAAGTAACTTGGAATCAAATGTCTGCATCTTATAGTCTGTATAGGTTTTACTTTAGAAAGGGCAACTTAAAAAAATAACCTTACATAAAAACCATAGCCAAATAAATCTTTTCTCTTTAAGTTTTGTGTGGGTTTCCGGAATTTTGTTCCAGGAACAAGAAAGCTGACCAACTACATGCAGAGGTTACAAGGAGGTCAAAATAGAATGTTCTTTAAGACAGCAAAGCAGGGTGTTTGGAGAAGACCCAGTAAAGAGGGAAGGATTCAGTGTAGAAGGGGAAAGGATGGTGGAGCAGGGAGGAAACAACTGCTGGAAAGATGACCTCGAGGAAGCAAGAGCAGTGATCTTAGGCTGGTCTGAGCTAGAGCTGGACTCCAGGTCCACCACGCTGCTTCTCCCAGCAGCAGATTGAGCATCCGCATTTTGATCCCAGAGGCTTCAGCAAAGTCAAAACATGAAGGCTCATGGGAATTGAGTGCCTTAATTTGGAAAACTAGAAGCTAGAGAAATCACGTGGCTTACTTATGATAATTATGTGTCAATTAAAAATAAAAAAGGAAGGAAAAATTACTTCTATGGCATAGATATTTTCCCCTAAGTTATTTATTTCTGCATTTATAAATGAGGAAGCTATGGCATAAATAATTATGTAATTCGTTAAGGTCACATAATAGTGTGACTAGGGATTTGAACAAGGATTGTCTGCCTCCAAAGTTCATACTCTTTTCTGTAAATGATGAACAAATAATTATAGTATTTGGAAACTGAAGCAATTTAGACACAGAAATGCTAAGTAGTTTGGGTAACATCTATGACCTCCATGAATTGTGCTCCTATTTTTCAAAGGCAGAATAAATCATCTTTCTCTGCATACTCCTAAAACACTATCTACATAGCTTTTTTTCTAGTGGACTTTATTTTTAGAGTAGTTTTAAGTTCACAGAAAAATTGAGCTCCTGGTATAAAGTTCCCAAGTATCCCCTGCCCCCTTCACTGCACAACCTCCCCTCATATCAATGCCCAGAACCATGAGCCACACTGATAGGTCATCATGACCCAGAGTTCATAACTTACCTTCGGTTCACTCTTGGTGTGGTGCTTTCCATAGGTTTGGTCAAATTATAAAGCAAGTACTCCCCGATATAGTATCATACAGAGGAGTTTCGCTGCCCTAAAGTGCTTGGTGCACTGTCTTTTCATCTGCCCCTCTCCTTAACCCCCAATTGCTGATCTTTTTTACTATCCCCATACTTTTGCCTTTTCCAGAATATCCTATAGTTGGAATCACAGTATGTAGGCATTAGATTGGTTGCTTTTACTTAATGATGTACATTCAATTTTCCTCCATGTCTTTTATGGCTTGACTACTCAGTTTTGATTTTTGGTTTTTTGTTTTTTGGTACTGGGGATCGAACTCGGGGCTTTCTGCTTGCAAGGCAGGCGGTGGAACACTCAGTTCTCTTTAATACTTATAATATTGTATTATCCTTGGTTAACATGTGTCTTTCTTCTCCATTGGAGTTCCTTGAAGGAAGAAATGTCTTGTTTTTGTAATTTCATATTTTCATTCCATTCTTGGCATATATTAGGTAAGCAGCTAAAGTTAGATGAATGAGTCAATACACGAATAAGGGAATGCATGGATGGATGGTTGGATGGATGAATGGTTGCATGAGTGTGTGGGTGGATGGGTAGATGAAGTCATACTCCTAGTTTATAGAGCTCTTACCCCAAACCTAGGTTGCTTGACAAGTTTGACTGGATGATTTGCAAAACAGCAAGATCATGAAGATTTTGAACATAGAAGGCACCCAGAAATTTGGTAAATACTTAAAACACAAGAAGACAACCTTCAGAGTACCTAGTACATGTGTCTTTGTCAGGTGATATTAGTTTTCTTCTGAGGCAATTCTAGTAAAAGTTTTTGTGTACCATTACTCTAACAGGTGCTTTACATTTTGTGCATGCATGTGGTGTGTGTGTGTGTGTGTGTGTGTGTTTCAATTGCAGCTTTCTGTTTTTCTTTACCACTAAGAAATTAGAACTTTGATTGCAAAACTAACCACATGCTGCAGTTTGAATGTGCCCCTCTACAATCCAGGTGTTGAAATTTAAGGGCCAATGTGATAGTATCAAGAAGTGGGGGACTTTGTGAGGCAATTAGGCAATGAGGACTCCCTGCTCTGGGGTAGGATTAAGGCTTATGGAAGGGCTTCCTGTAATATTAGTTTCTGTTGTCTTTTTGCCTTCTTAAGGAGCAGCAAGAGACATAGCACTCCTCCCCTGCAGAGACCACAGAATCATGGCGTCATCTTGGAAGCAAAGAACAGCCCTCACCAGACACTAAACCTGTTGGCACTTTGATGTTGGACTTCCCAGCATCCAGAACTCTAAAAACTAAAATTACTCAGTGCTTGTTATTTTGTTCTAGCACACAAATGGACTAAGATATTGCTATATTTTCTAGTGTTGAAAATACATTCAATGTAACAATTGCCCTCAGATGTTGTCTAACATATAACTAAGATCTAAAAAATGCAACAAAAGCTTTGTGTTTTAGACTGGTGTTGTATATAAGAGTAAGAGGAGAGACAGGAAACTAGCCTGATTTGAGAGGGATGTATTTGGGGCACCCAGTGTAACACCACACACATAGAAGCCAATAAATAAATGTTTGTTGAGTTAATAAAAAGTGAGGTCTGTGAACAGGGGACTTTATTATTATGGGAGGCACAGGGTGCAGTAGAAATGGCTCTGGCCTTGAGGACACATCTGTCCTGCACATCTTTTGCTGCTCCTTCATCCACTCCAGCCCTTATGTACCTTATGTACCTTATGTACCCATGATGGCCTCCACTTGAGCTCTCTCCCCTTCTGGCTCTCAGATAGGTAGGGCCAGTGGGGAGCAATGGGAGAGGTCAGAGGGAGAAGGGAAGAGAAGGAGGCCACAGTACTCAATCCTTGACCCCTTCCTTGTAATGTCTAGGGATAGCTGTGTCTCCCAATCACAAGCCACTGTCCTGCCCTTTTTGACCTCCGACCCCATCAACATTCCAAGGGTGGAAATGGTGAGGTTGGTGCTCTCCTCTGGGCACTGTTGTAACCTGTGGCTTCCCAACACCCTGCTGTAAACAGTCTTTTGATGAAAGTCTTCTCAAATTGCTTAATTTGGACAGTGACAGCCTTTCCCACATGGGCCTGTACAGCTATGCTTGTTCATAGGGAACACTTGGTTTTGTGCAGTAAAAATCCAGTGAAGTGTGTTAAAGAAAAAAGCAAAGACATGGGGTGATGCATGAGAAGCTGTTGAGTAACTTCTAGGGCCCAGAGGCAAGGTCATCAGAACCCTTCCCATGTGGTGCCAGAACTGGAACTAGAAGGTCAGCAGGAAGTAAAATGGCCATGCAAGGCACCCCTCCAGGCCTCAGTGGGGCTTTCATAGCTGCTTCCCTCTGCATGTCCCCCTGTCTCTCCCCACTAGCCATGCCTGTCTCTCTTGGTTTCCCTGGTGAGAGATGTTCCTCCCTTAATTTACAGGTTCACATGTTCTTAACTCAACTCACTAAGGTTCACAATGCCTCTTAGGCCTTAAAAGAATAACTAGGCTTTTCCACACAGGGCCAACACTCCACGCTTATCCAATTAGCTATGGCAGGAGGATCTGGGTCTGTTGTATTTCTGCCTTCATGAATGAGGAAACAGTGGTATAGTTACATAATTTTTAAGGTCACATGGTGGTAGGACAAGAGCTGAGAATAAGAACTGTATACCTCCACAGTTTATGCTCTTTCTAATAGAAGAAGAATAAATAATCACAGAAGTTGGGTAATGAAGAAAGTGAGAAATGGAAATACTAAGTATTTTGGCTACTTGTCCCAAGTGCAGGGTGAGCTGCTCTGAGTGTAGGGTGAGAAGCCCTCTGAGAGGGAAGCCGTCTGTACTCAGCAGGCTCTGTAATAGGAGTCTGCTACAGGAGAGATGACGGGACACTCTTTAACCCAATGTACAGACCTGGGGTCATGATCATTCACAGCTATGCAGAGAAGACCACAATTTATGCCAGCTTTGAATTACACTGTGGCAGTGTGAAATCAAAGCAGAGCCTATATTTCATTTCTTATTCACACACTTGGTAAAGTGACTAATGATGTTTATTTCTACATTTAGTACAGTGACAAATGATGTTGAGGATCTTTTCGTGTGCTTATTGACTACTCTTATATCTTATTTAAGAATATCCACCCAAATCCTTTACCCACTTTTAAAATGAAGGTATTTTTTTATTATTGAGCAATGAGTTGTAAAAAATATATTTTGGATATTAAGTCCTTATCAGATAGATGGTATGCATACATTTTCTAGCATTTCATGGGTTGTCTTTTTACTTCCTTGTGTCAAAACATAGAATTAGATCAGAATTTGAAAATGTAGAAGTTGATTGTGCCTCAAAAAAACCAGTTCAAAATATAAGAGACTTCAAGCTGAAATTATGAGGAGTGTTACAGTGGTTATGGCCTAATGTATGAGGTATAAATGGGGAAGCATTATGACTAGTTTTCTTGATTGGCTATTATACATTAGCAACTTTTTAGGGCAATTAAAACTATTTAGGCTGATTGGATTTATTTCACTGATGCTGGCAAGGATATGTGTTTCATTTATGATTACAGCTAGAGTTTAATGAAAACAGTAACAATGACTTGTTCTAGCCTACTGTGAATAAAAATTTGAGAGCCATTCTTTTATTGTCTTTTTATAGAGTTTCCAAATCCCTAGCAGACAGCAATACTTGGGATCTGGGAATGAAAAACTAGAATTCTTAAAATCAAAAGTTATTCTGCATTTTTCATCACATTTTATTTATATGTTTTAAAATAATCATGAATAATCATAACATTCTATCACTTTTCTATTGTAGGATTATGCTAATAGTTTTAGAGTATTTTTGGTTTAAAATATTTGATAATAAATGCATGATTATTATTATAAACTGATATGAGAAGATTATATATTTCAATATTGTGTAAGTGTAGTTTACATTTTATATAAAGAATTTGATAGCAGAAAACATGAAAAGAAGGAAACATTAACTCCAAATTAGTACCAAACACTCATTTTACTTTTTAATTTTTTTTTCCCATTAAGTTTATTGGTACATTTTAGGTATAAAACACAGTTACATTCATCATTGGGATCTTGTACCTTTACATGATGTATCTTGGTTCTTATTTTTCCCCATTCCCCTGCCCTCCCTTCACCCCCTCCACCCTTCCCTATTTGCAAAGACTTTGTTTCCATTTTTTTTCCTTTTCTCATATTTTTCTTTTCCCTTCTTTCCTTTCCCCTACCCCTCCCACTTCCCCCACTTCTTTAGACCTTTCCTTCCTGTTACACAATATAAATTATACATTTTAAAATTACAATATCAAAATTGAGAGGACATTACCACAGATTTTACAGAATTTAAAAGGATATAGAAAGCATATTACAAAACTCTTTTTTGAAATAAATTTGACAACTTCTAAGAAGTACCTTGGAAGACAAATTAATGAAACTAACTCTAGAGGAAATATAAAATTTGAATACCACCTATTAAAGAAAGTATATTCCCAGCTTGAAAACCTACCTATATGACAACAGCAGGCTCATAAACATTTTAACTGATAAATTATATCAAACAATTAAAGCAGAAAAAAGAAGGAACACTTCTCCCCTCATTTTAGGAAATCAACATTGTGCTAATCCTAAAACTAGATAAAGATAATAGAAGAAAAATGTATGAACATAGATAGAAATTTGTTTAACAAAACAAACTATTGGAAGTCAGATCTGGCAGGATATAGAAAGTGGTTTTGTTATAGGGATGGCAGTGTTGGTTCAGCATTGGAAGATCCACCCCCAAAAGTCATCATTTTAACAGAGGAAAGGAAAAAGCCATATGATCCTGTCACTAGTTGGAGAAAAAGTATTGGACTAAATTCTACAGCTGTCCATGGTAAAAGCTATCAGGAGCCTAGAAGTAGAACAGAAACTTCTCAACAGATTAAAGACATGTACTCCATACTTCCAGTGAGAACACCTTATATGAATGGAGAAGATACAATGCTTTGTCCCTAAGGTGGAGAACAAGGGCAGATATGCCTACTATTCATCTGTCCATTAAACTTTGAAACCAAAATAGTCTAGCAATAAAAATAAACAAATAGCATAGGATTGGCATGGTAGAAGTAAAATATTTATATGTAGATGAAATGATCATTTACAGAGAAAATACTGAGAAATCTCTAGAAGCCCCTAGAACTTGTATTTGAATTTAGCAGGATTAGAAAACACAAGTTACATATAAAAATTGAGGTCTATGTATACTTGCTATAAATGAAGAATTGGATATTGAAATTTAAAAGTTATGTAGGAGTACAAAGGACCTAGAAAAGTGAAAAGAAAAAGAAAAAAAAAAGCAGTGTTGGAAGACATTTAGTACCTAATTTTAAGACTTCCTCTAAAGCTACAGTAATCAAGGCAGTGTTGGTGTAAGGAAAGACATATAGATCATTGGAATAAAACAGAGAATCTAGAAATAGAGCCACACATATATGGTCCACTGAGCCAAACACTCATTTTAAAGATTGAAAGATAAGATTGTAAAGAGTTAAAAGTTATTTTTAAACTAAAATTCTAAGCATGCAAACCCTCAGTTTCCCTCTATGATTATCTTGATCTTTGATTCATTACAAAGGTAGTAATTTCTTTCCTTTTTATCCTGACACTGGTAGAATCATTGATTGCTAACAAAATCATTTTTAGAGTGGGTACTGGGGTTTCTCTTGCTTCATATAAGCACATTTCTCTTTTTAAAATGAGGAACATGTTTCAGCTTCTTGCTGTGACTTTAATTTTGTCACAGAAAGTGCTATCACTTCCGCTAGTTCAGATTTAAATCTGTTTCTTATCTTGTTGCAGCATTTCACAACTTTCATAGCTATTTTTCTTAATGTTTTCTTTTGGAAAAGTGTTTATAAAGAACTGTATCCTATAGCCAATGTCCAGACACTGAAAATGTGAGTAGACCTTATTTGATTGTAGTTACATAACTTGATACTTGGATCTTCTAGTAAGTTTAACAGTGGTACACAGAATCACTGTCAAATATTGCCCATTTCTGGGCCTCTTTTGCTTCCAAAATTCATTGTTTCTTGGAACACCACACATAGGATTTTTAAAGTCATCTCCATGTATAAATATACTGTTTATTTTACTTGCAAGAATGCAGACAGGCCCACGTACACACACTCAAATGCTGTCATGGCCGACAGACTGGATTGCAGTCACTTCCTTCCTAGTTGTTCCTTACAGCCTCTGACTCTTGCTGCTGTCTTTGGCTTGATTCAGTGCATTCCTTCCAACCAGTAATATCTCTATGTGATCTATGAGCTTTAATTTTCACAGGAGAATTCTAATACTTTCTCCCATTTTTTTAACAGATGTTTCTCAGAATTGGAGAATACCCATTTTCCAGTAAATGGCAAAAAGGAATTTCTGCATGGATATGCTGGTCTTTTGATGTTTTTGTGTACTAATTTCTCTTAAGAACATATGTACTCAAGAGTGAAACTGCTGGGCTGTAGGGTAAGCTTTAGAATTTCAACAATTTCTAAAACTGGAGTTTTAATTTAGAATCCTATTAATGATGTAAGAGAATTTCTTTGCTCTATATCTAAAAAAGAAATAAATGAAACCAAACAAATGAGGAAAAATCAAACCAGTATAGTCTGTCACTTTCATTTTGTTTTCTTGTGTGTTGTGGTACTTATTATATTATAGACTTAGGCCAGAAAACATTGTTTGATAGTAATCAAATAACATTTGGATCCTAGAGACAATATGAATGACTAAAGTGGCATCAGATATATGAATAACAGCTACTCATTTTATATGATAACATTTGCCAAATTCTAGGGATTGGCTCAGTTCTCCATTCCACTCCATGCCCTACTGAAATCAGATGACTTCCCTAACTTTTCTGTGGATTTCCAGAAGACCTGTCTTCTATGGTCACTGTTGGCTCTGACTGCTCCCTCTTCTAAAGACTAATTCTATGTTCCATGTCTTGTCACAATTTCTCCTTGGTCCTGTCATTGTACCCAAATGGAACTTAGCCCCTTTCCTTGCTACCTACATAAACCCATTCACATAAACCCTTTTGTGTCAAACTTGCAGACTGAGAGAGTACCTTCCTCAAACAGGAAATGACTTAACGTTGAAAATTAAATACTCTTATTCTTAAAAGTTTTTGGCCTTTCTACCATGTAGTATGATTCCCTCTCTGCTGCTCTCTGTCTCTCTCTCTCTCTCTCTTTCTTTTCTGCTCCCTATTTTCTTGGAAATAAAGAAACAAAATCTTTCATGTTTTATGGATAAAATCAGCTCTCTCCAGCTCTTTCCCTTAAACACATTTCCAAACTTCCCTTTGCAAATCTAAACATTTGGCTAAGACATAGAAACCGCCTTGGTTGGAGCCTCATTAAGCTGAGATCTACCTCATCTCTTGTCTGGAAGCCAAATATAGCTCCATTTCTCTGGTTCAAAAGCATTACAAGAGGAAACTGAACGAATATTAACAAAGTGTTAGTAACATTTATTTCTGAATATCATTACTCTAGAGTTATTTTTATTTTATTAAGTTTTAGTCTCTATTCTTCCTAAATTTTCTAAATAAACTGGGCAGTTCACCTTCACTTAGCAGTCACTAGAAGGAAACTTGCTTCTTCTTTGGGACCAAGGGTTTTGGTGTGACAAATGTAGAATAGAGGTTCAGACCTTGGCCTCCAATCTTGCTTCCTTACAAATGCAATCTTCTTGGTCAGGCAAAAAAAACCAAAAAGATATTGTCAGCATTATATCAGATGATGTACTTTATTTTCTCATTTATTTTTTGTACATGTTTGGACTATATAACGACTACACTTATTATGGGGTGTTGGTACATGTACCCAATACACGTTAATTCCTTTTTTTCCCATCCCCTTTCCTTCCATCTCTTGTTCCCCTATCCATTTGAAAAAGGTCTCCCTATTTCCTAAGTATTTTCCCAGAAGAGTTTAAGTTGTTATATCACAAGGATATATACAAACCCATGTTTATAGCAACACAACTTATAATAGCTAGGACTTGGAAACAGCATATATGTTTATCAACAGATGAATGGATAACGAAAATGTTCTATTGGCAGAGGAGATGAA